TATATATATATATGAGTGTTTTAATAACAATAATTTTACATGGAGATAAAAATTTTATACAACATATATATTTATAATATATAAAAGGAACTCATCATTTTCGTGTACACAAATTTTAAAACATTTTAATATTTTATTTATTATGATAATTACACAATTTTTTTAATGAATGATAACTTGGTAATTTAGCTTAATTAATTTAAATAAAAATTATTATTTGTCAAAAATTATTAATAAAATTAGAATAAAAAACTTTTTAAATTTTCTATAAGAATTTACTTACATTTATGTCAAAAAATTGTTATATATATTTTTTTATTATTTACATTTATATGAGCCTATTTTAATATTTTGTCTTTTGACACTTGAGCATATTATGATATTAATGTAGCAGATAATTGAATTATCTTTTAAGATAAATAATAAAAATACATTTAATAATAAATTATTATAAAAATATACATAAAAACAAGAAAATTCCGAGTAAGTCACAAGTGAACCAACAAGTTATCTTAATTTTGTTAGAGTTCTTTACTAGTTCTACTTAAATATTCAAAGAGTTGTTGTTTGATTTAACTATGTCATTCTTAAATTATGATGAAATATGTTTTTATTGTCTGAATTTTTACCAATTTTAATTTTTTGTCTTTAAATAATTCTTTTTAATTTAGTTTTAATCTTTTTTTTCATAGGCAAAGTTTTGACACTAAAGATCAAAATATTAACTAGAGATAAAAATGAAAGACTAAAAATAAAAATCAAAGAAAAAAAATTAATAATTAAAATTAGTACATAAATTGTTCAATGACTAAACCAAATTCCACAGCAGTTTAAGAATTAAAAACATATATAATCCCTTATATTATCATTAAATAAGACTCAATAAGACAAAATGCAATGATTATCATTTTTAGTAAATAAAAATATAATAGAAAAAATGCAATGATTATCTTTTTTAATAAATAAAAATATAATAGACAAAATGCAATGATTGAGTGCTGTTGAAGTCGACAATAATTTCCCGATTGAAAAGCAAACGTTATCATATATATATATATACTAAAGAGGAATAACTTCAATATAATTTTGTCTATTTACACTACATAAATAAAATATGTGCTTCAAAACAAACATGTCTCACAACAAAACAAATTAGAGTATATAATTATGAGATATTGGACATGATTAAACGTATTTATAATAAAAGAATACATTTTCATAGAGATTCCAGATGCCATAAACAAACGATCAAGAACGGGGAGCGGCCATTTGCATCTTCTTTATCCTGTTCCCCGCCCTCACCATGCTGCACAATTACACACAACAACCAGTCAAGATTCGGGTTTTTTATTTTTGTTTTGTTTATATTTGTGACTTCATAAAACCTATTTAGTGTCTTCACAACAATAATCATGTCTATTCTGGAAACAAATACCTGGTATCATGCGGGGTGATGAATATCCACTGTGATCCATGTGCCTCAGCAAAATCAACCAGAGTGTCCAAGCTGATTTTTCGGCTTACTGCATCCTGAAGATCAAATCCAAATTTCATAGTAGGACTATAATTTTAACTATATAAGGGTACAAAATAATAATAAGGCTAAATTAATAGTAGGAAACAGTTATACCATAAAGACATCAAACTCATCCATTGCTCTAAAAGGGGCTTCTGTCATTTCATGAAGGGCCAACGCGAAGCACAATGTTGAGAAAGAACGTTCCCCGCCTAATTATCCAAAAAACATAAATATAACATACAACATATAATGGCAATGTTGTAAAAAAAAAAAAAAGTTAAATAAATTGCTAAACAGTTAAATAAAAAATAATCACTAGAAGAATATGCTAAATGAATGTTTCCCTCGGCCATCTGCTTTAAAAATTTGAAATTAAAGGGGACAAAATGAAATGATTTATTTTATCCAAAAGTACTAAATATCTTCATCTTTCATCCTATGATGACAGCATATTCATCATTATCCAACACCAAACCTGAAAGCCCTCTAGTGTCTCGTACAGCTCTGTTTGATGCATCTTGGGGCATTTGTACCTATAAACAAAAGGAATAAATTAAAACTAAAATAAGGAAACAATTATGGTTACATGCTGAAATCCAAGAAACATATTTCATCATTTACAAACTAAAGGTTAACACAACACAAATTAGTATTTATTAACTTAACCACAAAAAAAATGAATAGCTAAATATAAAATTTTGCATATATGAAAAAACAGGGTAAAGGACATTGCAAAAGAAAAACATAGCAAACAAAGAATAACTTTACCTCAATCATTAAGGTTTTCTCTTCGTAATTAACTTTGATAAGTCCACTAATCCCCTTCTTTCTCAAATGGCCATTAAATCTGAGCATGAGGATGATAAGTCAAGGTTAAAATGAAAGAAAAAGAAAATTCTTGTGACAATGGAATACCATTACAATAAAGATGATACATGGTGAAGGCCATACTTCCAGGAAAGCTGGTGCTTCAGATAAGTTGCATTCCTCTTAAACTTTCTCTGTCGTAACTCTAAGGCTCTCTGGCAAGCCTGCAACAAGATACAAAAATTTACTCCATAAGAAGCATTACACAATAACATCACTTCAAAAAGTGTCTGCGACAAATGAAGATTGAATTAGTAAAAAATGTCTAATCAAATTCGAAAAAGGAGATTTAAGAACTAAATATTATTTTACATGTATATATTATATAGGGAGAGTGGGAGAATAATTCTAATATTTACAGGCTATAATATTGCTGTCATTAGTACAGTTAAAAAATAGTTTAAGGGAAAGAAAACCTGTCAGAAACCATAATTACAATTAAAGAAGGAACTGAGGGGCAACCACTCAAGGGACTCCAGACCCAACTGACTCAAAAAAATATGAGTTCCTGATTACTTCCCCCCTCAAGATATTAGTTTGTATTAGCTTTTATTCTGAAGCAAAAATCTATGTAGAATTAATCTGTCATGAAACAACTATTGTAAGAGCTTGAACTTTTGACTGAAAGCGCGTAAATGGTTTCATATTTGACACCACTAATGTAAAAGCCCAGGCCCATCCTAACTTATGCTAAAATCAAATGTATCTAGTAGAAGAATGGGATAGC